GCGCAGAAGGCGATAACGCCCGACAATAAGGTAACAGGACGAGTGCGAAGAACACAACGTTGAACATTCGAGTGGCTTACAGCAGTAGCGTAACTTTATTCAGGGGCGAAGGGTGGACAGGGATCAAACCTAGTTTATCTGTGTGCATTGGAGTGTTTGTGCGTGTGTGCGTGTTTTTGTTTTTTTATGTATGAAACTAACCAAAAATAAAACAACACTAGCACGCACAAACATGTATGGCGGCCTTGAGTCAATCTAAAATGAATTATTAATGATAAGTGAAGTTTAGTGTCTTTAAACCACCATATGATTACGAGAGACGCCGTAGTGGAGGGTTCCGGAAATTTTGACCACCTGGAGTTCTTTAACGTGCACAAAAGTCTCTGCATACGGGCCTACAGCATTTTTACATCTATCGCAAACGCAGCCGCCGCAGCCGGGATGCAATCCCGTGACGCGTGGGTCAGTAGCCAAGTACTTTAGCCACTAGACCACCGTGGTGGGGCAACCAAAATTAAATTATTATAAAAAATATGACAAAGTGACGTATAAAAAGCCCACTTAAGAGAAAATTAGGATGAAATCTTGATGGGTGTGATATCAAAGAGAGATATTAATTCGTATGTGTGGGGGGTGAACGGCGTTTGTGTGTAAGTACATCTACAGGTAATGAAACTGGAAAGTTTTTGACACCCCCTCTTCCCCAGCTACGCCACTGGTTTTAGGCACTGCGGTCTGGAAGACTCCTCACTGTATCTATTGTTTCTAAGTATCCCTGGTGCGTGACATGTGTGAGTAGTTAGTCTTTCAAGTAGAAGATTAGCATGGTTTCTAAATCCTAGTTTGTCCAACACTGTTTCCCCTCTGCGGCTTGGGTACCACGTCAGTCACGAGCATCGAATGTGACTTCGTCCTGCAGGCTTACTTGGTCGATATATCCTGCTTCAGGTCTATGCAAAGCTAATTATTCCTATGGCAAATATTACAGCTGATTTTTTCAATCGACATCTTTCAGAATTTTACTTGCAAATCAGTTCTCTTTTTTACTATAATAAGAAGAATATTTTCTGTCTGTACCACTCATTCTCAGGGGTAAACTGCATGTGTAGGTGCGTGATACTTTGAAAAAAAAAAACTATAAAAAAGGGAACGACATTAGCTGTACCACATACCAGCTACCGCATACCTTTTTCCTACCAAATGAAGCTAGATCACGATGATATTATTTCATGTGCTCCATTATCAAATAAACGTGTGAATTTGTAATAATGGTTACTTTTTTTAAATCTTTGGACTGGTAATATTATACGTAAAGAATTGGCAGATTCCACGTACTGTGGGAATCCATGATGTGCAAAGCACGACTAAGGCAGGTTGATATGTCATTTTAAAATGAGCACAACGTTACGTGGCGGACGTAAATTATACGGTACATGAATTCCATGCAATGATTATTAAGTTTGGACGTGTCATTTACCTTACTCACGTAATAAAGTCACGTGATACCAAATTTACCGTCACGTGGCATGATATTTGGAGATAGCGAAACTGCTGCGAGCACGCTATGAGCGTAGCATGTAATCATGTTTTACAAGACGCGCGATATTCACATCATGTTATACCAATTTTCGTATATGTGAAGGTAGCGAAACGGCCATGGGCACGCTGTGAGCGTAGCATTTAATCATTTTCACATGACCCGCCTATCATCATTATCATGTTCAGATGTGTCATTTACCTTCGCCGTCTATTGAAGTCGCGTGATACCAAATTTGGTTTATGTGGAGCTAGCCAAACGGCCGTGAGCACGCTATGGGCATAGCATGTAAACCATGTTTCACATGACACGCATACTATAGTTATCATGTTTACACGCGTCGTTTACCTTCGTCGTCTATTCACGTCACCTAAAATTAAATTTGGTGTGTGTTAAGCTACCGAAACGGCCGCGAGCGTGTTATGAGCGTAGTATGCAATCATGTTTTACATGACACACGTATGATTATTATCATGTTTTTCACAAATCACATACCTTCGTCGCCCACTGACGTCATGTAACACCGAATTTGGTACATGTGAAGCTGGCGAAATGGCCGTGATCGCATCATGAGCACGTCAAGCAGTCATGTTCTTACATGATATGCATCTCATGAGTATCATGTTTGCACCAGTCATGCACCTTCGTCATCCATTGACGTCTCATAATACGAAGTTTGGTATATGTGAAGCTAGCGAAATGACCCCGAGTGCACCATGAGCATTGCGTGTAGTCATGACTTACATGACATGCGTGTCATGATTTCCACGTTAGGGTCTGGAACGTATCTTCGCCATGCAGTCATCTCATACATTACATTTTGCAAAACTTTATGTGAATGAAACCACCACAAGATGAGCAAGACGATGAAATGTAATTAATGATATTTATGATATTCATGTCATGATTGTCACGTTATGGCTAGTAAATTATGCTCGTCATACAGTCATGTTATGTTATGCCATACAGATTTTGATATCGATGCCATTCCGAAACAGCCAGGAGAGCTAAAAGTTGTACGCTGCTAGACAGACAGACAGACAGACAGACAGACAGACAGACAGACAGACAGACAGACAGACAGACAGACAGATGGATAGATAGATAGATAGATAGATAGATAGATAGATAGATAGATAGATAGATAGATAGATAGACAGATAGACAGATAGATAGATAGATAGATAGATAGATAGATAGATAGATAGATAGATAGATAGATAGATAGATAGATAGATAGATAGATAGATAGATAGATAGATAGATAGATAGATAGATAGATAGATAGATACGCTCGAAATCAGCGAAGTTCGCTAATAAATGCTTCGCATTTGAAAACTAGCCTCTTTTATAAACTTATTCCCTACACAAAATGGAATCTTCACCCCCTTATCGTCATTTGTCTTTTACCTTTCATCTTTTGATTATGCTCATCCAGTCGGTAAAGCCACCTTACCAGAATTATTTTGGTAACAACACCCGAAGCAACACCCGTTTACTCATTCATCGGACTGTTGTTGTGATCTGAATACATCTTCACTTCAAAAAGGCCTCTACCACCATCACACCTACGAGAGTCAGACAGTGAGCACAGAGTAGCTGCTAACGATTGGCTACGTAGGGGCTGTTGGAAGCAAAGAAAACAGCTACCGCCGGTGGTATCTCTCTCCCATGTTTTTTATATTGCGTGTTATTGTGATAGCAATAAGTATATTAGCATTTCAAAACTAAAGTAACACCGTGCATATTACTAACGCGTTAATTTTGCGCCAAAATATGCATAATATTTCCTTTTTGATTGTCAATGTTCATTAGTGAACGCAACAAGCAGATAAATATGGATGGTCGGTCCAGCAAAGAGATAGACTTTCGGTCTGGTGGCTGAATCGAGCGACAGACAGAAACAAAAAGACAGACAGGGAGACCGAAATTTTCACGTCGAATATCTCAAGAAAGCCTATCGTCTCTAAAAGCAAATCTATGCCCCGTCCTCTGGGGCTGCTCTCAAATGCATAAACCTAATAATCCCCGGGGTGCTCTTATCACTACCCTTCAGCCGTGGGAGGCCAGGTTGCTCAGCTCCGACCAGGAAACACGAGCCCGAGTCGCAGAGTCGCCAGAGGCAGCCACCTAGGCGCAAGGTATTTTGGCCACCTGACCAACCGTAAACTCTGGGACGCTGAGCTTTCGCTACGCGTATAAGGTGCGAAATAAATGTTTGTCTCTCTCCTTTAAAGTACAATTCATGAATCAAGGTTGAGTCAAAACTCCTGCTTAGTATTTGTTTGCTGTTTCTTTCTGTACGCGTAACCAGGTTGATGGGCTGTGCAGATATTTTAGAAAAGAAAGGCTAATATGAGGCTTGATTGATTGATTGATTGATTGATTGATTGATTGATTGATTTGTGGAGTTTAACGTCCCAAAACCACAATTTGATTAAGAGAGATGCCGTAGTGGAGGGCTCCGGAAATTTTGACCTCCTGGGGTTTTTTAACCTGCACCCAAATCTGAGTACACGGGCCTACAACATTTCCGCCTCCATCGGAAATGCAGCCGCCACAGCCGGGATTTGATCCCGCGACCGGCGGGTCAGCAGCCGAGTACGTTAGTCACTAGACCACCGCGGCGGCGCGCTAATATGAGGCTTTCCGGTGGCCAAACCTGTGCTAAATTGCCCATGTTTAAACTTAGCTTACCTGGCTGCTGCCTAAATAGACAATGGGAGATGTTGGTGCAGCTGAATTGTGGGAAGTGCTAAGTATTGGACTGTAAAAGAGTTAGCAGGCAGGCTTATTCATATGTATTCATAATGAAATATTGGGAGCCCAAACTAACAGGACGGGATTGTTGGGCGCTAAGTGTTTTGGTAATAGATACTTCGGCTAAACAGTGTATATACAGGCTTTTATATTGCACATTTCCCCCCCTCTATTTGTGACGCTTGCTTGGCATGAAACTGCCACTCACGCTCCCTTTTTGCATACATTATGTAAGGTGGGCAGTTCTATCAGGGCCATCACTAACAATCTAGACAGCCTGAAACCCTAGATATTTTGCAACTGTACAATAAACTTATGCGTTAAGCTTCCCCTCCCAGTGTTTTCGTATACTTAGCTCGGTACGACATGAACTATACGAGGAAGAGATTGAAGCTTGAAAGACAACTGCAGCAATATCCCAACTTGTGAAATACAACGAAAATGGACACATTAGTTGTTTAGATTTATGCCATAAGCCTAATCATGAACGACAGCAGTGAAGCTGGCATGATAAAAGCACTGTATCTCGAAAACACTAGCGCTATAAATGCTTGCTGTTGAGAAATAAACGATTTTTTCCTCGAGTGACCATAGCTGTTTTTTTTTTTTCGTAGCTTGCGTATTTTTAGAAATACGAAAGAGGGCGTTACCGGAAAGAACAGAACCTTGACACAGGAAAAATAATACAGGTCTTATAATATTTTGTCTGGAAATTAAGGTTCAAGCTAAGCAGTACATCTCCATGATTTCAGCATTCTCGCACACATATGGTTTATGTGGGCCGAGAAGCTCGCAGAGCAAGCCGAACAAGTCTTTGCTGGCTCGCTTGGCCATCGTTTCGTTGTGCACGCCGTTGATCTCTACCCACGGAACGTAGTCGATGTTCGGTTGATGTCCGCGCGTTCGATTGCCCATCGCCCACAGTAGCTGAGTGCCCTCCGGTCCTCTGCTGCACTTGTCCAGGACGGGCCAGTCTGTGTTCACTTTCCGCGCGCAAGGCTCACCCGCCATCGTGGGATCAGGGTACTGGAACATGCAGGTGACGAGGTCCAGAAGCTTTCTGGTAGGGTGCACGTACTTGACAGCGCAAGTCTGGACTTCGTTCACGTAGCATTCTTGCTTGCCGTGCTGACAAGTGAACGTTACAGTGCCATTGTCGACCTTCATGTGGGCGTTGCCAAATGGAAGCAGGTCGAGGGAGACGTAGTCTTCTAGCTTGCCGTAGGTTGGCCAGAGTTGATGCAGAATGAAGTGATGGCACGCGGGACAGAGGCCCTCGTAGAACAGAGTGACGTTGATTGGAGGTGCCGCCCACGCTGGTGTTAGAAACAGCCGCGGTGGTGACACTGCACATACCGTCAGCACGGCTGACGCTACGATGACGGCGGCTGCGTATTTCATTGCGGAGTTTTCTGTGAAATCGAGTACGTTGCAGCAAAATCACGTGAACGTGCCAGTGGATCTCTGGCTAATGCTCGTCTGCGAGGCATTTTGCCGTTTAAGAGACACCGTCTTGGGCTATCAGTGCTCACGTGGCGCCCCTAAACGCCGTTTTCTATCACACTTAGATACGCCGAAACCTACGCCCGCTTAAGATAAGCAGCAATGGGATGTCCACATCTGCGTGCGATTCGTTTCGACTGAGCGAGCACTGTGCGGAATGAACTTCTTTGTCCTATAGTAGGACTAAAATGAGCAGGACAGACATAGTAAACATCTCTGTTTTGTGGATATAGCTTCAGAAAGGTGTACATAATACAGGGCGGCTTCAGCTTGGTCGTAATCTAGGCCCTGGCGGACAGCGTTCGCTTAGACTCGATGTTGAATACGGTCAAGGCACTCCCCAAGCTTTTTGGTGTGGTGAGGACCTGGGGGTTTTAGCGAAGACTCTGCATTGTTATTACGCAAATAAATAGAGGAGTGTGAATAGTGAACTTTACAACTGACATGAACACTAACCGAAGAGCGATCACATCAAATCAAAGAGGAATAATAATTGACTACAGTTCGAATAATTCTAGAATGGTAAAGCAAGAACTTTCAAAACAAGCCTAAACTGCTGAGGCGACATTTTAAAAAGCAGGCCAAGATTTCTGGAACAGTTTACTTGAAGCTCACCTTCACTATCTTTAACCACAACAATCAACATCAAAAACATTACGACTACTTCTATATGACGAAAATATTACAATATATTAACACAGCCACAACTAAAGCCTTCTAAATATTTGGTAATTGTACACTTTACTGTATCAGTGTCATCGTGGCATTTCGTGAATAGCTTTAAAAAATCTGATACTCAAGTATTAGGAAATTTTCATGAGTTAACATCACTACGAATTTATTAGTGGTTATGGATGATTCCTCCCACTGTTGCTTCAGTGGCGTTGTAGTATTAAGAAAAACTCCTTCATACTGTGATCAACAATATGTCGATAGTGCTCTAATTACATAGGCTCCATGAACCTGTGTTGTTCTATGATCTGTTCCCACGTCTTATTTCTGCAAGCCTTTCGGTGTTGTCGATTATTCGAAAGCTATTCGGAAATTTTTCATAATTCGAATCTGCTCTATTCAATTCATTATTCCAAATTTGTGAATATTCGCCCATTACTACAAATAAACTTGTAGACAAATATATCATTGCTCGGAATAATGAACTGCCCTTAAATATTTTACCCCCACCTCCCCTCACTTGCTTAACATTATCAATTTTACATCAGCTGAAGGTTCTATATTGACACACGGAGAAGTATGGTACGCTGCTCTGATTCAACTTAGTCCAATTGCCGTTAGTATAGCTCTGTGGTAAAATACTTCAATGCCACGCAGAAAACTTGGGTTCGATTCCAGATTGGACCCCGACATTAGTTACCGATGTCGAGTATTTCTTAACGCTTGCGCGTTGAAATTGCGCCTGTGTGTTCTCGTCTTTCCTGGGTACATACTGTCAATCACCTGTGGTACATACCCGCATACCAATGGCACATACCCTCGCGTGGGTATGTGCCACTGTCTGGCGGGAAGTGTTTTACGACATACGCGACGGGATTTTGACATTTATAATGTCTTGACCAGGGCGTCATATTTGTCAAACCATCTTTTCTTCCCATGCTAATTTTGGTTCACGCCAAGTGAAGGGGGTGACCACGAGAGCACCCAAACGTAAGTGGCCAGTTAGATAGATAGATAGATAGATAGATAGATAGATAGATAGATAGATAGATAGATACACTCAAAGTCGCCGAAATCCACTAAAAGATGCTTCGCATTTAATAGTCGCATGAAAATCTTTAAGTTCTCTTTTTTGTATTGATCTTTAGTGTAGCATACCATATTCCCTGCTTCCCATGGAGATCAATGTTCTATATCTAGGAGATAGTTCGATATCTTGTTTTACTGCAGAACGTGGTCAACAAAGTGTCCTCGAAGGCCCACGTTCAGTTATCAGAAGTTAAAACACGTCTGTCAACAACGTTTATCATTGAGATGACTTTCGGTACAGTTCACATTAAGTTTGTCTCTGTATAGCAAGTAATGAGAGTAAAATGCCGTATTTTCATAGTTCTACACACCCTTATGTACGGCAGTGTCTTCCGCAAATACTATGCAGACCTGCTTAACATCTGAGATATGCGCATTATTTTTTTAAATGGAAAGCACGGACTTTTTACGATAACCTTGATTCAGTTCTCAATTTCCGGTGCAAGTAAAAAGTAGTGTTAAGGACGACGTAATCTAAAACGTCGTATATATTTTGCTTGAAAGACTCGTCAGATGAAAACAGAACTCGCGTTGCATGATGACTTAAATAGAGTGTTTTACAGGATCAGACAGTTTTTTTTTTGTTTTCTTAGGAGGTCCTGAAACAGCCAGACTACAAGAATAGTTAACATGGGAACAATGCGTATTGAAGACAAACGCCATTTGTAGTTTGTGTTTCCGATTGTCGCTTGGCCATTCTTCTCCGTACACGTATCTTCATTTGTTCTGTGAGTAAACAATTGGCGAAGGCACGTGTAGGCCAGGCCATTCTGAGCTGTGAAGTCTGCCAGACCCGTGGTTCACGTGGGCGGTGACACCTGTAACCTGAAAGTCAGCGCTTTCGCATTCTTATTTTGAGTTGAATGAAACCAACGGTCGCAAGCAGAGTCAAGCTAAACAATACACTTATTGATTGCTTGCTTGATCCTTTTCCATGCTCTCACTCACTAAGGGGGATTTGCCAAGAAGCCGGCGGGGGATATAAGTCAATACCTTACGATTATCCAGGCTAGGGAAATTGTTTTGACCTGGCGAGATTATTTTGGCACAATGTGAAAAAAAAGTGAAAGAGAAGAAATACTCAAACTTTTTTTAATAGCTTAAGCATAATCGTTATATGAAATTTTTCTGAAGGTCAAGTCATTACAGTGTAATAGTAAATAATATTTGTTAGATTGGCTAGCAAAAATCGAGAGCTGATCAATTGCTCAGCAAGGTAATCTTCTTGTGGTGCATAGGAATTCGCAGAGAGCCCCGCAGATGTTCCTGTCACTGAGTCCTAATGAAGCAGCCCCAAGGGACAAAATATTAGGAACAGTAATTGATATTCCTACTTTTGTAAATGAAATTTTGAAACGATTTTTTCTTTAATTTTTAAAATGGTGGCATATGAGAAGAATATGTCGATATTTTCGGGTTCATTACGGCTTGAGCCAGAGGGGATGGAAACAGACCAGACTTGTTTAAGCAGAAATTGAGAGGTTGTACACGGCAACGTATTTTTGTAGTGCAGACTTCCAATTTACGAGTTGGACACCATTTATTATTCCATGTGAAGTGCAGGTGCGATAAATCTCGATTCGGAAACATGATTTTTGATGAGTCTTCAAGAAGGGAAAGTTTTCTTATCCTCGCTGCTGTTACATAAGCTGTCGGAGGCATGATTGGCACAATCGATTAAGAGATGTTCGCGCAAGTGTGTCAGCCATCTCGTTTATCAATATACTACGATAGCCTGGCACCCATATCATTTTCACTAGACGAATGTTTGCTGGGATTAATGATTTAAAAGTTTCTAATACTGCTAATGCCAAAGACTATGATAAAAATGCACACACGGAATACGAGTCAGTCACTATCACAGCTGTCGAATTAGTCGCATAAAGTTTACGAAGAGCTAGTATAACAGCCGTTCATGCCGCTTCAAATATTCGTGTATAATCTGGGAGGCTTAATGAAAAAGACCATAATAATGAGAGAAAAAAAAATACCCGCGCCTGTTTATAGATGCAACCATTGCAATTACTATATTAGCACCTAATAGAGAAAGGTGTTCTTCTAATAAGCCAATCAAATATTTAGAGGGCAAGTGTTTAGCATTTGTTGGGAAGATACCGTCAAATTCTGTTTGCACTTGGCCGATTGGTTTTGTCAGATGGTATGATCTCGAATATATTAGCATTTAAATCATCTTGAAGTGCTTTACAAATAGCACTTAGGGTTTACATGCACAGGACCAATGCTCATTGAAAAAGATACCGGGCTTGGCAAAGATTATGAACTGATGCCTTGTAAAAGTGGATTCAGAAAATTTTAAATAGGTTTTAACGGTTAGAATACGGAATCTGCAAGCAAGAGTGGGTATCCGAGCTTCTTGATACAAAACATTGTTAGCTGTGAATTTTGGCACACCTAAACAACTTCGAAGAGCGTCCCGTTCTAAGAGAATCGAGGGCTTTATTTTGTATGCTGGTCTACCGGAGAATAGTACACATCCGAATTCATGAATTGGACGAATGTACATGCGGTAAATCATGATCAGCGTATCTCTGCGAAGACCAGAACGGAGCCTGACAATCGTACCTATCATCGCAACAGCACGTGTAGGCTTAATTTTAATATTTTCAATATGATCAGGCCAGCTCAGTTTTTGATCGTTCAGTACACCCAGATATTTATTACAATTAACTTGGGGAATTTATTGATGGTACTGAATAGAAATATTAACTGGTACGTTTAATAGATAAACTATTAGAGCACTTTTAGTTACGTTCAGTTTCATGTAAATTTACTGAAACCAGGTTCCTAATGTTGCCAAATAAAACTGTAAAGCTGAACGTAGTAAATGAATAATACAGTCAGATGCAAAAAACGCAATATAATCTGCATATACATATACTTGCACTTTATAAATCAGTGCTATTGAGCTTAAGAAAATGGTAAATAGCACTGGCGATAGAACAGTCTTGAGGTACACCTCTCGTTTGGCTATAGACGAATTCCACCAGACTTACGTCACGAAAATGCGGTGGCGCTGTCTTGGTAGGCAAAAGACGCTCTGCCTACCGCAGTTTCTGCTGGGTTTTCAACGGTGCATGTGGCGTTCTTGCTAAAGCACCCAGAAAAAAAAAACGGTATACTGACGAGCTGTGTCGCGGTTGGATGTGAGCCGCGTC